CATTTGAGGACAATCCTAATTATAAGTTAAGATTGTTTGGGAACTCATTGGTTGGCCTAGCATCTCAATGGTATTCTATGTTGCCTCCCAATTCTATTTCTAACTGGGGGCAAATGGAGATGGCTTTCCATGACCAGTTTTATAGGATGAAGCCCGAGATGTCTATCAATGACCTAGTAGAGGTGAAGCAATACAAACATGAGTCTACATAAGACTTCATGATGAGGTTTAAGAGGACAAGAATGAGATGCCAATTCCCTATCAATCATATCCATTACTCAAAAAGCCTGGAGGCTGCCTTTGAGGAAGAAGTTTTATAACGTACAGTTCAATGAGTTACAAGAGCTGGTAATTGTTGCCACAAAATATGAGATGTTATTGCTTGAGGAATAGCAAGTAAATCACTCATCTAAGGCTCTTTTGTTTTTTTTTTTACAAAAGTAAAGCTGCAATTCACCAAGTGGAGTTTGAAGGAGCTGAGCCAGAGAGAAATGATGACCATGGAAGAGAAGGGATGGACATGTGTGCGACAGAGATGACAACCCCCTTTAAACCTTTAATAGTGAAGAGGTTAGTCCAACCAGTCAAGGATCAAAAAGTGGTGATGAATGATGGTGGATTTGTCTCTATGAAACCCCCTAAATACCAGAGTTATTCCTTTGATTTAATCAAGGCCTCAGAGATCTATGAAGAGTTCATGTGGGCAAGTGTGATTGTGCCTGATAACACCAAAAAGATGCCTAAACCAGAAGAGCTAAGAGGAAAGAAATATTGCAAGCTACACTATACCTTCAATCACTCCATAACCAACTGTGTCCAGTTCAGGGATTGGATACAAGACCTCATAATGAAGGGAAAGTTGCTGTTGGAAAAACCACAAGCCAATATGATGATTGACATTGACCCTTTCCCAGAAGCCCCAATAAACATGATCAACCTGACTTGGGTTGAAAAAGGGAAAGGGAAAACCATCTAGGAAGTAAAAGCAGAAAGGAAGTCAGTTGATAGACCAACAGAAGGAACTATGAAGCTGCTTGAGAAGACCAAAACAACCATAGTTAAAGAAGTGGTATTATGCAACAAGTGTCAGTGTGAATGTGAGTTAGAAGTACCATCATAAAAAATTATTATTGATCAGTAGTTGATCAGAAGGAATGAGAGAGAAGAACAAGAAATCCATATGAGTATCATACTAGCAGCTGAGAAAGAGACCTCCATAAATGTTTTCCAAAGGTTGGGAGGAGATTCTCAACCAAAGGGCTTATTAGAGGTATTCAGGACAACTGCTAATATGTTTTGGAACTATCTTGCCTGTAAGGAGAATGCCTTCACCTTTGTTGGTCGATACTTTTTGTGAAGTTCCAGAACAAATGCCAAACTTTGGCATAACTCAAGAAGAAGCGCTGCCCGAACTAATGTTGCCAAAAGTAGCACAGGCCTGGCTAGATGAATTCATGGGCCATATTGGGAGTAAGAAGGATGACTTACCTGGACCTAGCAACTTCCACGTAAACATGACATATGTTTTAGTTGCCATGTTTTATCCCCAAGCATGATCAACCTACCACAATGGAGGGTGATTACTTGGCAACAGAACCCATGATGGCACATGTTAGTGTTGAAGAAGTGGGAAAAGAAGAGTCAGGCAGAATAGGGTTGCTCGAACTCATAAAGAAAGAGCTCGAGAGAATATACTTAGACAAAATGGTCTTCAGTCGCCCAAGTTTGACCCTAGCTAGTCATCTCAAGCCTATTTATGTAACTGCTCATCTGGAAGAAGTACCATTCAAGAGGGTTTTGATTGATGGAGAGGCTACGGTAAATGTGTTGCCATATAAGCAAATGAAAAAGATATATAGGAGTGAGGAGGATCTCATCCCCACGGATCTAATAGTTTCTAGTTTCTTTGGGGAACTCATGGGATACTTCCATTAGAGGTTGACTTGGGTTCTAAGCAAATCATGCTAGCCTTTTTCGTGGTGGACATCACTTCCATTTATGGAGCATTACTAGGTCGAGATTGGATTCATCTGAGTTTCTCTGTGCCTTCCACCTTACACCAATAGGTAGTGGTTTACCACAAGGAATGAGCTATATGACCAGGATTTTGGGAAATGGTGGAGGTTGAGTCACAGCCATTCCTCCCTACAGCTAATGTTGCAGAAGCCAGCTTTTATAATCTTAGTATTGGGATCCTTCAGTGCTTAGGAGCATATGAGAACAGCCGTCTGACTAAGGTGACGACCCAAAAGCTTCTAGAACAAGGATTATTCTTCACCAATGAGGAATGGGATAGGCCCTATATTGTCCTAACTCCTCAACATCAGTGATTTTAGAACAAAGAAGAAAGGACCAAGTAGTTGCAGTCAGGTCTTTAATCAAAAGACTGTTGGTGTATGGGAGAGAGAGAAAGCAAGAAAGGGAGAGCTTGGCCAACAAACAAAAAGAAGAAGCTTTAAGCAGCCAGAACAGAGGTGAAGAAGAGTTATTTGGGAAAGAGTTGGAAGCGGCCATAAAAATGGTTGAATGTATATATGAGCTGGATAGGCCATAAGACTTACCCAAGAGTCCATAGTTAGTCAAATTTTTGTGTTCAGAACTTAACAAGCCACCACCAGAGGTGCAAGACCCTTTGAAGACCTTTGATTTGGGGACTAAGGATATGTCCAAGGGCTATACAGATCAGTGGCCTACTAGAAGTGGAAGATCAGGCAAAGATAGTAAGCTTTTTGCACGAGTTCAAAGATTGTTTTGCTTGGCCTTACACTAAGATGCCAAGTTTAGATTCAACCTTAGTAGAACACAAAATGCCTATTAAGGAGAGATATAAACATGTGAAGTAAGCACCACAAAGAATGTCAAAAGAGATCGAGGAAAAAGTTAAGGAAGAGATTGAGAGGCTGGTGAAAGCTGAATTTATTAGGCCGGCTAAATATGTCGAGTGGTTGGCCAACATTGTATGTATATTAAAAGCTATAACTAATGTAGTTCGATGTTACGTTGACTATATAAACATTAATGGAACCACGCCTAAAGATGAATATCCCATGACCATGGCTGACTTATCCATATATATAATTTCCAAACACAAAGTTCTATCTTTCATGGATAGGAATGTCAGTTACAATCAGATAAAAATGGCTAAAGAAGATATACATAAAACAGCTTTTAAGTGCCGAGGTCATGTTGGAGCATATGAATATTTAGTAATGCCATTCGGGCTAAAAAATGTTGGTGCAACCTATCAAAGAGCGATGAATGCCATTTATAATGACTTGATCGGCCATAACATGGAAGTATACATTGATGACATCGTGGTGAAGTCTAAAACTGAAGAACAACACTTGGAACATCCTAGACAAGCCTTAACAAGAATGAGGATCCATAAGCTAAAAATGAATCCAAAGAAATGTGCTTTTGGGGTAAGGTCAGACAACTTTTTGGGATTCCTTGTTCATCAAAGAAGGGTGAAGGTTGACAAGAACAAAGCTCGGGCAATAATGGAAACACCTCATCCCACCAATAAAGTACAACTGCAAAGGTTGTTGGGAAAGATAAACTTTTTAAGGAGATTCATTGCTAACTTGGCTAGCAAGATTCAGCCACTAACTCCTTTGCTAAGATTGAAAGACAAAGAAGAGTTTGAGTGGGGCCCACCACATCAAGAAGCTTTTGACAAAATAAAGGCTTACTTAACCTCTCCACCAGTGCTCATGCCACCTCAGGGGGAAGCCTTTAAAACTTTATATTTTTGCCTCTAAAAAGTCAATGGGAAGCTTGCTGGCCTAAAACAATGAAGGAGGAAAAGAACAAGCAATATACTACCTCAGTAGAATCCTTACTGAGGTAGAGACAAGATACACACCAGTGGATAGGTTGTGCTTGGCTCTATACTTCATTGCCTGCAAGCTAAGGCATTACATGTTGCCTTGCCACATCCACATCATCACCAAGACAGATGTAATCAAATACATATTGTAAAAACCAATGCTAAATGGGAGAATTGGAAAGTGAATTCTAGCACTATTAGAGTTTAGCTTTCAATATGTGCCTTAAAGAATGATCAAGGGACAAGCAATTACAGGTTTATTGGCTGAGCACCAAGAGTCTCAGGAAGAGATTATTAACATCCCAGGAACTTTGGAGGTAGCCAGTGTATGGATCCTATCAAGTAAAGCATTCTCGGGCAGAGAATAATGGATCCAGCAAGAGATAAAAAGAGTAGCTAGTCTCTGGATCACCCATTAGAGATTGTATTTTGATGGTTCTTGCACTCAAAATGCTATTGGAGATAGGATTGTCATCATTAATCCTAGAGGTATTCACTATTGTTATTCATTTCTCCTGGATTATCAAGAGATTACCAACAATGGAGTAGAGTATGAGGCATTGATAATTGGCCTGGAAATCTTAATAGAGTTAAGGGCAACTAAAGTTGAGGTGTTTGGTGATTCAAAATTGGTGATCAATCAGTTAAATGGAGAATACACACATCACCATGGCCGGTTATTACTTAGCGGCCACTCAATTGTTAAGTTATTGGGGGCATTGAAATATCAGTCAGTTACATCCCTAGAGAATCAAATGCAAATGCCAATGAGATGGCACAATTAGCTTTTGGAGCATAGATCCAAGAAAGGAAGTTTGAAGGGGATATAGAAGTTCATAAAAGAAATCTCCCTTCTATCTTTGAAAGAGGATTCAACCTACATATGATGACTAAAGAAATAGAGATAGAGGATTGGAGGACATATATTGTTTAATATTTGAAACATCCATCTTTCCCCGCGAGTAAGAAAAATAGACGACAAGCAACTAAATATGTCATGTGGGATAAATCTATGCTAAGAAAGACTCTAAATGGACTGCTGCTAAAGTGCTTAGGCTTGGAAGAATCAATGAGGGTGATGACTGAAGTACATGAAGGAATCTATGGGGCACATCAGGCTGGAACTAAGATGAGATGATTGCTTAGAAGATATGGCTATTTCTGGCATGAGATGGAGAAAGACAGTAAAGCTTATGCCCGAGGGTGTGAAAAATGCCAAAGACATGGACCGCCCCAACATGTGCCCTCAATACCCTTGAACCCCGTGGTCAAGCCTTGGCCCTTTAGAAGGTGGGCAATTGACTTCATCGGACAAATTTATCCAGCTTATAGCAAAGAACACACATTAATAATCGTGGCAACAAATTACTTCACCAAGTGGGTGGAAGCTTCAGCTGTGAAGACCATTACTTCAACTGCAGCCAAGAAGTTCATTCAAACCAAAATCTTACACAAATTTGGGGTGCCCGAGACAATTGTCACAGACTGTGGGCCATCTTTTATTTCAAGGGAAGTAGAAGAGTTTGCAAGTAAGTTCAAGATAAAGATGATTCAGTCTAGTCCTGACTACCCCCAGTTAAATGGTCAAGCAGAAACCAGCAACAAGGTCTTGGTGAACATTATCAAAAGAAATAGTCCAGAGAAGTGGCATGAGAAATTAGAAGAGACTTTGTGGGCTTACAGAACTTCCAAAAGGACAACAACTAAAACTACTCATTATGCTCTAACCTTCGGGCAAGACGCTGCACTCCTCATAGAGATAAATGTAAATTATATCAGAATTCAGAACCAATTCGGTCTACACAGCGAGGAATACATTTAGGCTATGTGTCAGGAAATTGAGGATCTAGATGCAACCTGAATTGAAGCTCTAGATAAAATTCAAGAGGGGAAGAGAGCTGTTGTCCAAGCATACAACAAAAAGGTAAAATTAAAAACCTTCAAGGAAGGAGAGTTAGTTTGGAAAGCAATTCTGCCTTTGGGAGCTCAAGTTAGAGGCTTTGGGAAGTAGAGTCTGACTTAGGAGGGTCCTTTCATTATCAACCAAGTCCTAGACAAAGGAGGATATTACTTGGCAGATGTAGAAAGAAGCTTACAAAAACATCAAATCAACGCTAAGTTTTTGAAGAAATATCACCCAACCTTGTGGGATGTTAGGGATTGCTACATTGAAGAAGTGTAAACATTGCGAGAAATCTAAAGTCAGCTTATGTGCTCATCATAGTTGAGTTTCAAGGCGAAAATGCAAGCTAAAGTGGATTAAAGAAATCATTTTCATTTCATTGAATGTTAAAGTTACATAAGAATTAGCTCAATAGTTTTACATCCTTAGTCAGGCAACTATCCTAGAATACCTTAAGTGGAAACAGTTGCTCCTAACTTCTCAATTTCGAAGACACTTCTGAGATCCTTGTCTCCATAGCAGAGCCTTATTCCGCATGTCCTACCAAAGTCTTTGACGTTGATCCTAAAACTAACAAGGTCATGGTAGTTGAACCCGAAACATACACCTATGATGATGAATCAAGAAATCAGAAGCTATAAGGAAGTCTGGGCTTGTGGATATCAATGCAAGAAAAAATAGCTTTATATCCACAAGTAGAATCTACCGGTGCGATTAAAGCTACTCGGCTACTCCTCAATGTCATAGAAGTCCTGAAATAGAAGCTGGAAGTAGTGCACCTTTCTGAGGATACTGTAGAAATTGATTTCTCCTTAGGCATGTTGTTTTCAATGACAATTGGGACCTCAGATGTTTATGCAGGTCCCATAGAGTGCACTCATCTCTCTTTGAAGAAAATTTTAGTATGCAGGCCTGCCCGAGGGTGATAAAGGTCGTTGAGTAAGCGGTGCATGGTGGAAATCCCCTCACTAGTCTCACAGGGAGATGGAGTTCGAGCAACTTTGGGTGCCATTGGGGATTTTAAGGAGAAAATCGGAAGAAAATCGGAATTGGGGGGGTAAGAACTGAAGAACAAGAGAAGTTTATGAAGGCTCGAAGAATTCTAGGAAGTTCTGGGAATTTGAAGATTAGAAATGGCTAAGGTACTTTGCCAAGGAGTTTATGTGAGGGTTATGTAGTAAGTGGTTGGTTAACGATGTAGTTCGTGGGTTAGTGCAAAAGTTTTGTTAACAACGATTGCTTTAAATGGTGCAAGTCTAGAGTAAGTGCATGCGACGACTATTTAATCATTATTAGCGTCCTGGGTTGCAGACTCAACAATGATTAAAGGGGGCATTGTTTGGATTAATATTTGAACATTGGACTTAGATGAAGAAAAGCCCAAGGGTGCCGAATTAAAGGAGACTTGTCTGAAGCCTATGAACAAAGTGGAGACTTCTTAGCCAAGGTAAAAGCCACATGCTTACCATTGAAGTGACAAGTGATAGAGATGAACCTACTACCAGCCAAATGACACTTTCTAGTGGCATACCATTGAAGTGACAAGTGATAGAGATGAACCTACTACCAGTCAAAAGACATTTTTGAGTGGCATTCCAAGTAAAAAGCTGATGACTCATTACCCTTCAAATGCTTTCGGGCAAGAGCAAAGTTGCAGGAGTCGAGCTAATCTGCCTATAAAAGGAGGAAAAGGCCTTAGAGACAAGGATACTCAGCCAATCAAACAAACAAACATACAAACTCTGCTATTAAGCCAGATTTGCATCTAAAAACTGAAATCAACCCAGATTAAGTCATTTTTAGCAACAAGCTATCTCTTTCTCTAGTTTAAAGCTTTGATATCTCCCTCAGTGGTGTAGTATCAATTCCCTTGTGTAAACTTGTTTACCATCCATCCTTTTCTAGCATAAAAATCCCTGTAATCACAAAGAGAACTGACTACAATAAGTTCAACCTTGACAAACAAGGTGAAATCTTGCCCGAAACTCTTTGTTTGTTTTCTAAATTTGTAGATCTATTACGTAATGCATTCTCCAGTATGTATTCAAGTTATATTCACTTGTTTTCTACTTTAAGAGTCTAATTTGCATCTGGATCTGGTTAGCTTAATGGATATGTTATCATTAAAATCAATCAAGAACCAAGCAAATGGCTAAATGGCTAAAAGGGGATCTGGATTCCCTTCATTTGGACAATACAAGACTATGAACTAAAATTCCTTGTTTACAAGGCAAGAAAAAGAACTTAATATGGACTTAACCGATCCACGGCAATCCTTTGATAACAAGAAGTCTGAGTAACTTGGGGCGTAAGTAATCGACTAAAGACAGTTGTTCTACATCTACTATACTTAGATAGCAATGGCACGCCTAGCACTTAGTTAGTTTTGATTGCGAGCCTTAAAGCCTACACCTAAGGCCCCACAAAGTCTTTTTTCATAACTAACTTTGTTCTTTTCTTGCAGCACATCAGCAAGCAGGAGCTCGACTACACATCCAAAGTGCCAATCTCTTAGGGAGCTGTGCTACATGTCGAGGACCCTTCCCCACGAAAATCTTCGTAACCAATAGGTTCATTAATTGGAAAGTCATTTATGCATGATCATTTGTGGAGATTGCAATGTACAATAGAGAAAAACCGAATCCATGTTTTGAATACCACAACTAAAAGAATGCATGGGTCTGATCACACATTTATGCTTTGACATAAAACATTGGGACATATTTCAAATGATAGGATTTCTCAGTTGTCTAAATCGAATTTGATTCCTTCCATTGATTTAAAAAATGCATCCGAGCGTGTGGATTGTTTAAAAGAAAAGATGGTCAATGTAAGGAAACTAGATGCTAAAAGAAGTCATAGCCTACTTGAATTATTCATACTGATATATGTGGTCATTTCCTTGTTAAAACCGTACGTGGGAATTCATATTTTGTGAGCTTTATTGACGATTTCTCCAAACATTGTCATCTTTTCCTAATTAGTGAAAAGTCATCAGCCTTTAATTGTTTCAAAATCTTTAAGTGTGAAGTTGAAAAACAATTAAATACAGTGATTAAGATTGTTAGATCAGATAAAGGAGGGAAATACTTTGGTAGGTACAAAGAAGTAGGTCAACAGCAATGTCATTTTGCTTGTTTTCTTAAACAACAAGGGATTGTGGCACAGTACACCACCCCTAGAATACCTCAACAGAATGGGGCCGCAGATAGAAGAAATAGAACACTGATAGGGATGGTAAGGAGCATAATTACCAAATCCCAATTGCCTGGATTTCTCTGGGGAGAATCTCTGAAGACTGCAAACTACATATTAAATAGGGTTCATTCGAAAGCAGTACCAAAAACACCTTTTGAAATGTGGACAAGCAGAAGACCTAGTTTTGATTACTTCCATGTTTGGGGTTGCAAGGCCAAAGCCAGATTTTATAATCCTAATGAGGAAAAGCTTGATTCTAGGACTAATTCATGTTTTTTCATTGGATATTCTAAGAAGTCAAAATGTTTCAAGTTTTACTGTCCTGAAGCACATACTAGAGTGCAAGAAACTCATAATGTGGTGTTTCTTGAAGATGAGGATTTTCTGAATTGGTACAAGACATCTTTGATTTTGAAGAAATTGAATAGTCAATTGAAAGTGCATCTTGAATGGATTATAAATATGTACCTATATTGCCAAGGTTACCTGCATCCAACCTTGATTCAGATCAAGAGATAGATGACATTGTGGTTGCACAAGAAACTTAAGAAATGGCAAAACAATCAAACACTGAAGGCATTTAAATTCAAGACCAACATGCTCAAGAAACATATCAATTATTTGTTCAAACTTCACTAAGAAAATCTGGAAGAATTCGAAAACCTATCATTTCACAAGATTATGTGTATCTGCAAGAAGCTGAGTTTGATTTAGGAGATATTAATGATCTTATAACTTATAATCAAGCAATGCAGAGTGCTCAAGTAATTATATGGCAGAAAGCAATGGAGGAGGAATTAGATTCAATGTCCAAGAATAATTTTTGGACCCTAGTGAATAAAACATCACAAATTAAGCCTATATAATGTAAATGTGTTTATAAAACTAAGAGAGATGCTGCTAAAAGAATTGAGATGTATAAGGCTAGATTAGTTGCAAAGGGCTTCATTCAAAGAGAAAAAATAGACTACAATGATACTTTCTCACCTGTTTCTTCCAAGGATTCCATGTGGGTCTTTATGGCTTTAACAACTCACTTTGATTTGGAATTACATCAAATGGATGTAAAAACAACCTTCTTGAATGGAGATCTATTGGAAGATATCTACATGGTTCAACCTACTAGATTTGTTGAAAGGGGGAAGGGAAATATTGTCTGTAAGCTTAATAAGTCAATCTATGGACTTAAGCAAGCTTTAAGACAATAGTTCCTCAAATTTGACCAAGTGATTACTGCACATGGTTTTACAGAAAATAAATTGGATGACTGCATTTATCTCAAGTTCAAGGGCTCAAAGTTCATTTTCTTAATTCTGTATGTTGATGATATTATCCTTGCTAGTTCAGACAAGCAATTACTACAGGAAACCAAGGCTGTTCTTAATACTAATTTTGACATGAAGGACCTAGGTGAGGCCCATTATGTTATGGGAATCGAAATTATGAGAGATAGAAACAGAATGTTACTTGGTTTGTCTCAAAAAATGGTATATTGAAAGGTTGCTAAACAGGTTCAACATGGAGAATTATAATAAAGCAGATGTTCCAGTAAACAAGAGAGATAAGTCTTGCAAAGATCAGTGTCCTAAAAGTGAAAATGAGGTTAAATTGATGAAGATGAAACCATATGCTTCATTAGTTGGTAGCCTTATGTATGCCAACATATGCACAAGACCAAACTTAGCATTCGTTGTTGGTTTTCTAGGAAGATTTCAATCAAATCCATGAGAGGCTCATTGGGTTGCTGCAAAGAAAGTTTTGAGATATTTGCAGAAAACAAAAGGGCACATGTTGGTGTATGGCCGAGAAAATTCATTGGAACTAATTCGATTCACAGATTTAGATCTTGCAGATGATAGGGATGAAAGAAAATCTACTAGTGGTTATGGTTTCATGATGAGTGGAGCTACTATTTCGTGGAAGAGTGCTAAGCAAACAATCGTGTCAACTTCTACAATGGAAGATGAGTTTGTAGCATGCTTTGAATGTATGAAACAAGCAGTTTGGCTCTAGAATTTTATAACTGAGATTAAGATAGTTGAATCTGTAAAAGGGCCTGTAAAAATATTCTGTGATAACAGTGCAGTTGTATTCTTCTCAAAGAACAACAAGAGGACTTCAGCCTCGAGATTGATGGATGTTAAATTTCTTAAAGTAAGGGAAGTGGTCAAGAAAGGAGAAATTGAGAAAATATATCTGTCAACAGATTTGATGGTTGCGGATCCACTTACAAAAGCATTGCCAAATAATGTGTTTAAGGGACATGTTATGAAGATGAGAGTTGTGGAGTCTTTTGACAAGTGTGAGTGAGCAAGGAATCAAATTCTTGAGGACTGCATTCTTCTTTGATTATTCTTGGTTGTTGAAGTTGTATGCCTTTTGGGAGCAGCCTCTCCATAAATGGGGGTAAGGCTAGCCGACATTCACCTCTCCCAGACCCTGCGTAAAGCGGGAGCCTTGTGCACTGGGTACGACCTTTGTTGAAGTTGTATGCCTTGGAATGTAAGTTATTTTGTTAGTTTGATGTGTAGGTATAATTAATTTAGGTAGTATTCCGGCTTAATTTTCTTTTCTTATTCTTTTGGATTTCAATAAGGGGTTGAATTTTTCCTTATGGAATTGATTGTACCAGAAGACAATTTTTATAAATGATGATTTGATTTACTAGAAAATCGATTTGTGATTTTATTGAGGCATCTCTGAGTTATTGTTTTGTTGTGATTAGTTAACTTTTATGGTTGATGATCAGATTCTTAACTTTAGGGTGTTGAGATCAATTTGATAAGTGGGAGTAATGTAATATGACATTACCGTATTTATAAGTACATATGTTTACGAAATGCAGATTAGAGTACCTTGTGATTCTTGAAATAAAATCTGTAAGTGTGCAGATGGAGTTCTAGAGTTATGTGCTTTGAAATGTATAGGTGAATTTGAATGTGGTGACAAGCTCTTGGTTAATTCAGACTTGGTGATCACTTCCATAAATTCGATATATTGGATGTTATGTTTCATGCTCAAGTGGGAGAATGTTAGTAAATGAGTATGAACATAACATTGGATCTGGTTATAGTGTGGGAATTAGATATGGAAAAGTCTTGCTAATAAGCTTTAGTAATCCTAATCCTTATGGGATTGATAGTACTGATATAGTATTTCGAGTTTTGTGGACTTGAGATAGTACTGGGATTGTGTTTAATCACATATTTTAATGTGGATTGGATAGTTGAGTCCTATACTGATTCTAATTGGAGATCAGTAAGGATTGTCATAGTATATAAATGCTAGCCACTGCTCTTGCAATGTACTACTCGATTTGATTCAAAGCCCTATTCTTTTAGAGCACTTCTGAATTGCTAAAGAGGAGAAGGTTATCTGTTACAAAGAGCTTTCATGGCTTCATCATCGTCATCTAGTGCTGCAGGTATGTATTTTACTTCATCTTTACAGTTACAAAATTATTGTTGACTTTTGTAGTTCAATGGCATCTCTACGATCTATAACATGATATGTGAATATACATCATATAAACAAATCCCCATCAACTTGATAACAAATCGACTATAATTGACAAAAAAAAAAAAGGCATATAGCTCGAATGGTTGAGTAAGAGCGGAACCAATCATTTAGTGGCAAAATTGACCTACCTTTTATGGGGAGGCAATATCATTATTTGTATACAAATTCCAATGTAATTAAGCAATATAATTTCATAAATAAAAAATTGAATCAATTCCAAGGATCCACATAGGTGGAATATGGAACTGAGTTCAACTGACATACAATGCAAACCCTATCTTTTTCTTCGCAATCACAAGTTAAATATCAAAAATTGAGTTGTATTGACACACAATGGAAACTAAAATGCAGTTTGTAATCCAATGTTTAGACTGAAACTAAAGTTTCCGCAAAAGCAACAGAGAGTGATTTCTAAGTTGCTTTTGTTTATGCACCTAATTTCATGCATTACATTTAGAACCTTCAAAGTTCATCAAGAACACCTCCAGCGTAGAAGAAAAACTACTCTCTGATCCACCTGACGCGTCTTCCATTCCAAAGTCTTCAAAAACATTTCCATTTGCTGCAATTCCTGGTATAATGGTTGAGTTTCCATTTCCTACATTACCAGTTACTGGAATCATTTCATTGATGATGTCATTGCCAAGACTCTCGTCTAAACTCACCTCAGGAACCTGACTACCCAGGCTCTCGTTTGTCTCCGCTAATATTGTTTCCAAGTCCCAAGAAACCACTTGACTGCCATGGTTCTCGCTAATCTCTGCCAGCATCGAGTCCAAGCTCACCTCAGGAACTTGACTGGCCGAGGATTCTCCGATATAGCTAGGGCCTGGATCAACGTTAGTCAATCCAGGAAGGAAAGTAGGGTTAATTGTTTGAGGATAAATAGGAAATTGGGTGTTTTGAAGACTATAGGAGGAGCTAAAGTTTGGGAAATTATCAGTATTCTTGAAGGCATGGAGGAAGGGGTCTACATATTGGTTGGCGTTCGAATTATTAGCAAATGGTGATATGGTATGATAACTTCTTGGTTCGAATGACGGTGATGGTTGTACCATAGGAATTTTCTGTTCAGTATTGTTTCTTCTGCTTTCCAGGACATCATCAGCTGAAGACCACCTTAACATCTTTGAAGCACCCTTTCCAATAGGAATCATTGGGCTCTCAAGAATTCTTTTCACATCATACTGATTTCGATCAAAATTTGTAACAGATTTTGTGCCTTTCGTCTTTATCAGTGCAACATCATAAGCTCTGGCTGCTTCCTCTTCAGTATCTGGATATAATTAGTTCAATGTGAGACAAATAATTAAGTTCTTCAAGTAGTTTGTATAAACTGAGGCATAAAGGATCTTAGGACTTACCAAATGTGCCTAGATAAAAGCCTTTGAACCCTGCACCTTTCCCTATTTTAGCTTGCCATTTCTTACTATTCGAGTTCCTGTTTCAACGGTTGACTATGAGAGAGAGAGAGAGAGAGAGAGAGAGAGAGAGAGAGAGAGAGAGATGTGGAAGGGGCTTGGTGGTTACAATACCTTGAAACTCCACGATAAATTGACACGCCCTTGCCGAAGCTAGCACTGCCTCTGAAATTTGACAAGGTATAGATACAAGAAATCAATGGATGTGGGATGACAAAACTGATTTGTTTTATTTCTATTTTACATTTTTATATAATTGTTAATAAAAAAATTTCAAAAAGACTAAAAAATGGTAATAATTAGGTACTCACTAGTGAGTTCTTTTTTTTTTTTTTGAGGAAACAACATTATTTACACTAAGGGGGTGAGCTTAGCTTCGCAATAAGCTAGTAATAATGTAGTTTAAATTCGTTTTTGGAGAGCGAATTTGAACCATATTATTATGGCTAGCCCAGTATGAGGCTTAACCCACTCTTTCACCTCCTTAGTATAAGTTTGCTAAAAAAAATGTAAATACTCATACTAAGTACTCAAGTATTTTCTAAAGATAAAAAGTAAGCAGCCCTGTTGTGGGTATAATTTTTTGCTAACATGGCATAAATGTTTGCAGCCATGTTAGCAGAAATATGGGAGCCATGTGGATAACTATCATCATTTAATATGAGTTATGTGGCATTCTGCTACGTAGAGAAAAGTTCAGGAGCTTCAATGCATAAACATTCATTTGTTCAAGGTAACCATGCACATTTATAGAAGTCTAAGTGGTATATGTGCAAATTTCTCTACAATATGCCAGATCACTAGCAAGTACCAAAACATTATAAGAAGAACAATTCTCTTTCTATGGAATATATGAGTTCAATTTGTTAATTAACATTGTTACCTTCTAAGCCGCAGCAAATAGTCATCATAGGTCATGTTCTTCATCTCCTCCAAATCTTTGGTGTACATCTCCAACTACGATATATAAAGATATGCAAGATTAGTTCCGTAAGTCCCTGTACGGGGGAATATATATAATCTTAAAGTAACGATAAGCAAATCATAATTTTAACATACTGGGAAGTTCAATCCAGCAGACTTTCCCCATAACTTTAAAGCAAGAAGATCATGAGCTCTAGCCGCATCCTCTTCTCTATCAAATCCACCTGCCAATATTGAGAACTCCACACATAACTTCTCTTTTTCATTGCAATATATTTTTTTATTACAAATGATTTCACTACTCTAAATACCACATAAAAGGGACAAAATATGTAGCTATTACTCTAAATATACACTACACTAACAGATATCATTCACCTACCATTTTTTTTAATATAACGACATATTTATACTAATGAGTGGCACTTAGGCTATTCCAATCAACCATAATAATTTGGCTTGAACTCACTATCTACGAAAGTCGAACTTAAGATTTATCATTCACAAGGGGCGAGAATACTACTAGCTTGTAATATTAAATAGCTTAATTGCAGTAATTGTTATGATTCAATAGTTATCTCCTTTTTATAAGGTTGAGGATCATAAAAATTTAGTTTATCTTTAATATAGGCTATGAATTATTAAAATTATCTATATCCTTTTTTATTTTTCGCTGTGTGCCTCATTAAAAATGTAATTTCAAGTTCAAAACGAAAGAGTTATACAAGAAATTCACTCACCAACATAAACTGCCGAACGTGCGTTGATGGAAGGAACAACAAGAGAAAACCAAAGATTAAGTTAGCGAATAATTAAAATGTTGCATCATTAGTTACAAAAGAAGGGAAATGGAAAATAAAATAATTTTACCTGTTTTTTTGTTTTCTTGTATAGTGCTATCCCATATAAATGCTTCAAAACGTCCGTTTGGGTACCTATAATATAGCAAGTTCATCTTTTTTATTTTTCTTTTTATTTTTCTTTTTAAAGGACCAGTTGGTGGCTTCGCCACGATAATCTATACTTTTGGAGGCCGGAAGAGTCACATAGGCATTTCAGCATATTATCTACATTAAGATAAAATTTTGTAATGAATGCTAAAATTGTGCAATAAATGTTGGGAAAAGGGTTTGGGGGGTAAGGGAATATTTTTGCTCACCACATGGTGATGTTCACCACTTTATTTATCAATATAAGATAAATTTAAATTTCGAGATCTGTGTATTGGATATACACAAATTTCAAAATTTAAACTCATCTAACAGTGATAAATAGCTACATAGATCTCGAAATTTAAACTCATTTTACAGTAATAAATAGGGTGGTGAACATCACCATCACTTAAGAATGGTGAACAAAAGTGCACCCGGGAACAAACCGTCCATCCTTCATGGGTTTGGTTTTCCCATCTCTAAGATCTATCACAAATTTTGTTTTAAAAAAAATTATTACATTTTTTTCCCCACAATTTCAAATTTTGGATTAACCAAACATGGGTAAGAAATGATTTATCATTCCCAAGTCTCATTTTGCACATATCAAACACAACCTAAAAAGTGGGGGAGTGAGCTAAACCTCATAATTGGCTAATTATAATAATGGGGTGTGATATCCACACACCCCTTTTTACTTCTCACACACCCTTTGTTAATTTCTGTCTGTTGATCTTCTTCAATTCATTTGATCCGAATGCCGAAAATTAGAAGGGTGTGTGAGAAGTAAAAAAGGGTGTGTGGATATCACATCCCATAATAATTTGGTATGAATTCGCCTTTACTGAAAATCGAATCTAATATCTCTCGCTTACAAGTAAAAGAATAATACTATCAAATCGTAGTACTAAGTGACAATATAAGTAGTTTATTTGAATGATGGGATTGTATGTTATAAAATTCGTGAAATTTCCTTTGTGGCTAACTTGAGAATTAGGATTAATAATGTTAGAACCTAGCTCCACATCTTCTACAATTGCACAGAGAGATAGTAACAGAACAACAATATCATTTCATTCCCCCGCTTCCTTCTCTTACAATGTACTATTTATACTCGTACTCAACTCTAACTATCACCACAAGATGATGCCATCTGGCATCCTAACAAATAAGAACGAAATTTAATGTTTATCTTCTTAGAGTCATCAATCTATAAATAAGTGATGTGTTGTTGGTGTCATGTGCACATTGCATGCGCATAACTTTTCATGAACAATACATGACCATACATATTTGAAAGTTCAAATTTCCCTGTGCAATTTTTGGACAATAAATGGTCAAAAATTAGCCTTTAGGTAGCACATTGGAACAAAATTCTTATAGAGGTCGCAATCTTCACTTATTTTTATTATTGTGTCTTTGATGTAGTTGAAATATGGGCCTTGAGTGATTCAATACAATCTTGTAATCTATTAATTCCTTTGTGTCGATACAAAATCTTGTTAGAGATTTAGGAATCAAGTAAACTCATTGGGGCATTGAATTGTGGGGAGGGAAAATGAATTTAGGTGCAAAGGAAGATGACACTAATCTAGCTAATTAGACATTGAATGTATTTATTTATTTATAACAATACAAGAAAGGCATACCTTGAAACTCCGCGAAAATGAGAGCTTCTCTCAGAAAATTTGCGTTCAGAGATTTTGCGACGCCGTTTACATTTCATCAGACTTTTTCCACTCAAACTATCATTCTCTTCTTGATTGCTGTAATGGGAAACAATCATAGTTAAACAATACTTAAATAGTAACATAACTCTTTGATGTATAGTACTGACGTTAAAAAAATAAGTAAGTTTTGGTTACCTCAAAGATTTCTCTTCAGAAACGTTTACACAACTCTTGATATTATTGTTGTCACCAACAAACCCCTTAACACTTTCTACAGGCAGTGATGATAACGATGGATCGTTCGAAAAGAGAGAAGTATTCTGAGTAGGCACTTCAAATGAGTTCCCAACTGTTGATATTTGAGTATTGGGTTGCAAAGGGTGCTGATTTGCTTCTGAAGTGTTGTTTTCATAATTAGTGAATGTCTCGTCTAGTTCATTAGCAAAAATATGTGACTGCTTAGAAAGTGATAGACCATCACTTTGCATTTGATGAAGGAACGAGCTCCTCAGTTTAGAGCTACTTGAATGACTTGAAAAGTGATAAGGAAAAAGAAAGTTATCACTTGAGTGCATAGTGCACACTCGATGGTGAAATAGCTGAGAATATTGTCCTGCAAAAACAATACTTAAGAATTGATGAGAACTAGCTTAGCATATCTAATAAAAATTACTAAATAATAACAAGCACAACAAATGATTGAACAACTACGTTTATAATAGTTCTTGAATAGGTAGGAAACAACAAGAGGATCAAGATTATATCCAAAGACTTGACTCGAATTGGAGAATGCAATGAAATAAGGAAATAATGGAAACCAAAAATATACATATACATAAACAAAGTAGATATCAAGCATGACTTGTAATGCAACTCTACAAAAGTTTAAATAAAACTTGCTATCAAACAATGAGAGGATCACTTTAGGCCTAAAAATGAAATATAAAAAAAAAACAAAACAATAGCTAGATTGGGGCCGTGAGAATTCTTGAACGAAGTTGGTCGGGTTTCACAATTATGTTATTCCACTCCAATAGAAGTTACTACATAAACAAATCCAACAAGAACCACTCGTTTGGACCCGCTCCATAAACTGATCTCAGGATTTGAATCCTTTGTTTTAAGTCATCGTTATAAAATCACCCTTTGCAAAATTCTCCAGAATCAAATCTCGTATAAGCCATTTGACTATTATTGTAAACCAAACGTTCAATAACTATTAGAACATTAAACAATTTATATGATTAATTTGATTGAGTTTTAAAGAAGAATGATTTTTCGACGACCTAAATATTGATCATCCAAATCATGAGGAATGTTGTTGAGTGGACTCAAATGTTGACTTACTGATTGGTTAGATCTTGAAAACTACCTGCTCAAATTCAGAGACATTTTGATATATAACCATACATAATAAATATAAGTAGACTGAAAACATGTAAAACGAAAACATTAAGCTGAATGAAATACCACAAATTCTGATTGAACAAAACTTACCCGCGATCGGAGTTTGTAAATATCAACGTGATAATGCGAGATTGTTACTCGTTCTCTTCTGTAACTTATTACTTCAGTGTTTTTTAGTTTTTTGATCAATTTCAAGGAGAGGAAATAATTGATTATAGCTTTTTCTCATTTCTATGCAAAATGCATTGTGAACTTTTAGATATGGATAGTAATCAAGTGAAATAATAAGCACCCAAAACCAAATTAGCAAACAGTTGGTAGGACATCACAAGTTAGGAAATATATCTAAATGAATGCAACAAATTAGGGAAAATATTCAACTACGAAAATAAGCAAGAGCGCAATTGATATCTATACTACATACAAATATTATAAGTTTTTATGTGGATGATCTTTGAGTAAGACCTAAAAAATAGATGATTTACATCATTGAAATATAACATATAGAATGTGTGCTACATCCTAACTCATAATCAACACTAGTGTGTCTGCACACCCAAATAAAAGGTTGTTCACGTCTCCTGATTCTTTTTTTATTTATTCATTCCAAATACTACAAGTGCAGAAGGCAAAATGGGACAGTGAAAATCATTTTCTTTCAACGATGTGGTCATGGTTAATGAAGAGTGACCAATTAAAAAACAAAACAGCACTCTAGCTATCACCTTAGTTTGTTAAAGAGGGAGTGAATTGTAGGTAATATAGATTTGGAAATGCTTTCATCCATTAAATAAAAAATTAGTGATTGTAGGACACCACATAATAAATATCATTGAGCAAAAATGAAGGCAATGCTGATAATTTTTCATTGTCCTCAAAAGAGCTAACTTAAAAGCAGCTAATCTGATTTAAGATGATGAAAATGTATATAGACAATGCATCATCTAAAGGAAACAAGATACATATCACATTAAGTAATAAACTACTTGGTCTTGGTACGTGACCTGAATGTTTATGAAAAGTACCTGAGTTTCTTCTTTTGTGGCTGAGATCTCTTCAAAGCAAACTAAAACGTTCACAATCCTATACAGATATATTGTAATTAAACCCAAATCTAGAATTTTGATAAATGTTTCGCCGAGATGGATAGTGATGGATAGCGTACATGAAGAACAAAACGGAGAAGGGAAAGTGAACCAAGACAAGATAGAAAAGAGGAAAGTGAAGCAAAATTTAAAGGCATTACCACCAACTTACAAGTGTAAGCGTTTTAGTCCCAAATTGCTTTGCATGCGCAACAGGGTTTTAAGCATATGTCTTAAAAGGGGCTACGTTTTATGGTCTCTAAATTGCAATCCTTAGTGATAATATTAGTAGAAGTTGATGAGATATTGGCTACTATATTTAATAAAATTAAATTCTAAAATCATATATTTTTGCAAAATTAAGGTGGATGTCCAGATGCATTAACACTCAAGCTTGTCAACTTATTGTAGAAAACATGGGTCTCGTGTCAAGAAGATGCTCACTAGTCATCTGCTACCACTTTTAAAAATTGCTTACAGCTATATTCAAACTCGTTTCATTTTGGATTCCTTTCTCTGTCAAAGTATCGTTTTTAGATAATTATCAAGATTTTAGTAATTAAATGGAAATTAAGTTAATTAATCTGTTGAGATGACTGTATTAAGATTTAGAAACTGCCTCGTATCAAATGCACAAATACCTGCAAATTAATAGTGGTTTTACAATGAAGCATGCCACTTGTCTAATTTGGAAGAGATAATGTTGTCACTGTATGCATGAAAGAAAATTTGGCTGTGTTGCCTTGAATGCTTGGAATTTATTGTCCGATGGCGCCAACAAATTTGTATTATTCACAAAACTCCAGCAACTTTTTTTTTTTCTTTTGAAAAGCATGAACATAAGATATATTGGACGAAAATATTATTGAAAGTATAGAAATACTTTGTCGTACTTTTTTTTATTTGTTAACCATTCTGTTTTTTATTTTTAGTAAATTACCGATTTAGTTCATGAATTATTATCTGAGTGAAAATCAAGTCCATAATATTATTATTTTGGTAAAATAATTTCAAAAAAAAATTATCAATTCATTCCTACTAAAAAATTCAAAGTTGTTTTATCCAATTTGCGGTCAAGCTATGTCACGTAACTCACTTGCGACACACTTTAAGGAGTAATATGGTCATTTTCTTGCCCTTAAGCCTATAAAGATGCATATAGCTAGGTTGCAAATCTAATGGCCAATTTACTCTTTAAAAATAACTCAATACATTTTTTTTTTCTTTTGAGTTTAGAATATATAAGTTCTTAAACCTGTTAAAAAATCTTAATCATTCCTCAAGATATTATCTAGCTATTTGGTAGCATTCTTGCCTCCAAAAAAACGTTTTAAGAAAAATTAATAAAAAAAAAGGGTTTCTGTTATAGGCATAATTTACTGAACAATTATAGAAGCCAGAGAGAGGGAAGGTGCGGCATAGAGAGAGAAGAGAGAGATGTGTAATTGTGGGGGTGTGTTCTATTCCACTCCATTGTGCCTTTATTTATAGTAGTAGGGAAGGTTAATTCCTTACCCTTTTAGGATTACAACTCTAATAGGAATATAAGAGATATTCCAAGATATACTAGGATTTACACAATCACATTCATAATCTAATAGGACTGCAATACTCCCCCTTGAGTGTGTAAATACTCAAGTAAATGGCGCATCATATCTTCAATGATGAAGTAAGTACAGTTGATGAAGTCTTTGGAACAATGAGCAAATGCGGTCTCAAATCAATGGAAGAATGCATAAAAAGTAAAACTCACAAAACCTCGCTATGGTAAAACCCAAGGTGGGAGAAAAACCCATAGACTAAGGAGAAAAAGTGAGAAGTTGCATTAAGTCAAAACTATACGTCTTTTGGATGCAAGTAAAAGAGCTCCCAAGTGTATGATCAGCCTAGGATAGGTGCCTCGTTAAAACCTAGTTAGGTAGCAAAAACCCAGTGGGAAAAATGCTCCTAATCGTAAGGAAAAAGAGTACATTAAGATCAAGTGAGTATACTTCTGGATACTCTCTCTGAGTTTGACATAACTTCCAAATGAGAACTACAAGCATTGTATATGATAGTTAGGCATACCAATTCCTCGGACAAGCTTCTGGAAGGTTGACTTCGGTAGTGACGTCATGCAGTGGTCGGCAAGGTTGTCTGGGATCGGCTTGCATGACTTCAATCTCCTGATGCTTTGCTAATATAGACGCAATATGTCTTGGCGTTGACTTTATTGATGTATCGTGTCTTGGTCGGGTGAATAAATGCGGCATAATCTTCATGGATCGTCATTAGGACTCAACGATGGATGAAAATAGCAAGTACTTTGAATATGCTCAACAAGAACTCCTAACCATGTCTCACTTGTGGCGTAGTGAAGTAAGGTGAATCTTGGAACGACTCAAAGATTTCGCAACTAAGTTCATACCGTGGACCTCCAAGATATTGCAATATCCCTTAACGGTAAAGACATAACCATTTGGGGATTTTTCCTTGTGTGGGTTTGATAAGTAACCAGCGTCAGAATAACAAGCAAGGCAAGCATCATTCCGAGGATCGGGGGGTTAGATCCGCTTGAGATGCGCTTGGGATTTGCCCACGTAGTACCTTCATGGTACGTCTTTAATACCAATTCAATGGTTGCGTGTAGGCGTGGTGCTGCATCTTTACCAAGATCAACAGCGAAGGAGATGTCTTGTGAGATCCCGTATTTTAGATATATATATATATATATATATATATTGTATTTAAAAGAGTTTTTAAGGTTTTCCCTTAGTACATTACGTACATGTGTGTTTTATACATAAGTAGATGTATGTATACATATTGTAGAGATTAGATTGGCATGAGGTGGATTAAGTTTGGACGTGGCACATGCTAGAACTAGAGGAAGAAGTAAACTGCTTTTCGAATACTCTAATTGCTGAGTCTTGGCAGCTATGATGTGTGGTGGCTAATTTAGTTTGTAGCTATCTTGATTAGGTTTTTGTAAGCACTCTAAGATGGTGAGTATTGAT